TACATATCTTTCTATATATGCCTATACACATTTCTGCTGAATATAAACCAAGGAGTAGAACTGTGGATTCACATGTTACTCATATGTTCAGATTTAGCAGATAAATGCCAACCATTTTTCCAAAGTTGTTGAACCAATTTATATTCACAGTAGTGTATGAAAGTTCCAGTTGCTTAATATCTTCATCGATACTTGTTATTATCAGTTTTATTTTTAATGTTAGACATTCTGGTATAGAGATATTTCACTGTAGATTAACTTTAGACTCCTTGATAACTAATGATGCAAAGGACATTTTTATGTTTATTGATTATGTTCTTTTATAAAGTGCTTTTAAAACAAATATTTTTGCCTATACCTTAAATGGGGTTGTCTGTCTTCTAAATTTTTATACATGTTCTTTATATATTCCTTATATATTTACATATATGCATCTTTTATAATATACATATGTTGAAAATATCTTCTTCCATTCAGTGACTTGCTTTCCGTTCAATGGTATTTTTGCTGCAAACAATTTCTGAATTTTAAAGATGTCTAATTTATCACTTTTTCCCTTTGACATCAGTGATGTGAGTCCTGTTTAAAAAGGCTTTCCCAACTCCAAGTTCTTGTAGATACCCTTCTCTGTTAGCTCCTAGAAGCTCCCAATGCACCATGAATTGATTTTGTATGTGGTATAAGGTAGGATCAAGATTCATATTTTCCATACAGATATCCAATTGGTCCTAGAAATATTTGTTGAAAGATCAGCCTTTTTTCATAGCAGTGATATTCTTGTCAGAAATCAGTTGGCTTTGTCTATATACGTAGTTTCTCAACTCTCTTTGTTCTGTTTGATTGGTTTATTGTTCTGTTGTTGCATAACACCACATTATTTTTTGATACTCAGACCTTGTATAATCTACACTGTCTTAACAGTCACTTTATAATATGTTTGGAAATTTTCCAGCTCGGTTCTACCTCAGGAGTTCTCAACGCCAGCATGACTGACATTTGGTGCCACTTTGTTGTGGGGGCCATCCTGTGCACTAATCTCTCTGCAATTTCCTTCTAAGACATTGGTCCCTTAAATCCTAATTGCTTTGGTTGCTTTTGGGCACCTTCAAATATTTTGTTCTGTTCTCTTCTGTTATATTTTATTCAGCTTGTATAATTGTCTCTTGTAGAACAGTTGATCAGATACAAGCTTCTTCATAGCTAGGAGCAGAAGTTCTGAAAGATTATTTCACTTTTTGCCTAAGATTAAGTCTTGTATAACACGGTTTCAATTGATTTTGATTTTTCCCAAATACTACAAGAACATTTGTAAGTAAAAATAAAAAGATGAATAAAGCATAGAGAAATGATAAGATTATTTAATCCTGACTTCTCTTTTGCAATTTTCTTAAGACTATAAAATTAATATGGTCTTAATAAGTATACTTATGGTATATAATATATACT